TTTACGAAAAGCTACAACTGATAACATGTGAATTTGATGTTCGTATATAAACTACAGGTAAAACAAATACTAATAATTGGTTTGTACAATTTAATGTAATAGCTTTAAATAAGTTCACTGATATATATGTAAATTAGCAGACCAAATACTGTCGCTGGGATGACTTTGCGTGAAACTCGTCACAAAAAATGTTACAACAGTTATTGTGTGAATTTTGGTATGATATACGAATATAAATTACAGGTAAAACAAATATTGTTAAAAAATGTTATAAATTTCAATTTATTTATCTGAATTATTTGTATAAACTTAAAGAACGTCGGTTAAATTCCAGATACGTATCCCGTCATGGCGGCTCATTTCTGATTCCAGCAAACAGTGGGGACGCACGTTCTAACCTAACCTAACCTAACCTATTGTAGTAATTTGGTTGGTAATAATTATGGTAATTTATTAGAATAGGTTAGGTTAGAACGTGCGTCCCCACTGTTTCCTTTCTTTTGTTTGCTGGAATCAGAGATGAGCCGCCATGACGGTATACGTATCTGGAATTTAACCAGAACGTCATATTCGAAAGCCCTGTCGTCAAGCAGTTAGCTTCGAATCTGTTTATTGTCCATTTGATATATAGAATATGAAACTGTCCATCCTGTACGACATCTGTACGCTCGTGATATGTGCTTTTGAGGTATGTTTTTTTAAAAGTTTTTTAAAAATGTTTTACTCGCGTATATATGTATAATTTCTCATGTTTTATTTTAATGTTTAGCCCCTTTAGTTCCCAGCAATTTTTGATATTAATGTAATTAAACATAAAAAATACTTAAAACTGAAAAAAAAACGAAAGAAATGCGTTAGTTTTGAAGAAAAAGCTTCAAACTTTATTTTCCTTTGTCTCGCCTTCTGCGAAATTTGACACCGATGAGTCATTGTTTACACAGCTGGAGTCGGATTTCCCGGGACATTCTCATAGAAGTCTCGAGAGGCGAAGGGTTTGTAGTAGGGTGAATACTATCTGGCCGTATATTTTTAAATATTTTTAAAAAATTCAAATTTTAATTGCGATTTCAGACCCCCCCGACTTAATTAAACGTATACATAATAAAATCTATTAATTAAAAAACTATTGGAGGTCGTTTTTGACATCAGAAACTAGCTTTAAATAACTTTACTGAAGGGAAATCCGTGCACTACAACTTTAGAACGATTAATTAATTTTGATAAAAAAATCCCATTAATTTAAAAAACAATTAAGCCTTAATCGAGCCTTATCAAAGGCTAATTAAAATCGCAATAAAATTTTTTTGCACGGGTAAAAATTTTTGAAAAAATTTGGAGACTTAAAAAACATTCCAAAAATTCAAAAAAAAAAAACAAAAATTTTTTGGGGGACCAAAAGGACCGAGTTTTATGTAAGGCTATGTAACCTGCCCAAGTTAACTCAGGCGAAGAACTAAACGGGCTAATTAGTTGGCTGAAGAGGGGCTAATGCCCAAAATGCGACTTGTAAATAGCGTCCCAATTGAATAAAGTGTTGAATAATGTCACTGTAGTGTGTATGTAAAGAAGCAAGGTAATATCAACAACAACACGGTTTCATCAGAATCAAAAAAAAAAAAACTTTTTAGTTGTTGCCATGTTTCTCATCATTCGAATTAGTGGAAAATGTTTTTTGCCAGTAGAAAAGTTTATGTTAAAGTGTGATTATGATTCACAAGTGTGATTATGATTCACAAAACAGAAAACTTTACTGGAAAGAATGTCATTACTGAAGGCTGATACAATATTTGTTTAGCCTTCTGCTATCAATTCACTCTGTATAAACTAAATGTAAAAATTAAGGCATTAAAATTATTTTTTAAGTTTTTTTAGTTCATTTTAACATTTATAATAAGACAGAAATGAAATGATATGGTAAAAACATTTTATTCTTCAACAGTCAACTTGTTTAAGGAAAGATATGTTTTTTTTATATGGTAAATACTTGAAAGATTATCATTCAATAAGATGCTGAAAGTTTGTTTTATTTCTTCAGTTACTGTTTAGTATGCTACATGAGGATTTATTTTACTGTTGTTTTCTAATTTGAGAGTTACTTAATAATAAATTAAATTTTATACAAATGCTACTTTAATTAATATAAAACTGATTTCTACACTGTAGAGTTTCAAAAAGAAAATGATAATGATTTAAAATTGTAATGATACTATCTTTAGTTTTGATTTTGTTAACAAAAGATGGAAAATAATGCCATTGTATAAAGAAGCAAAATATTGCAGTCAAGCTAGAGATATCATTTTAAATGTATATAATTATTAAAATTTACTCTATAGTAATAAAAAAAAGCAATGAGTTTATAGCTTATTAGGATGGCAGTTATAAAACATTATGTATCTTAACTGTCAAAATTCTCTAAAATCATGACATTATATAGATAGGGGATAATTGTAGGAAATTTATCAGCTTTCAAGATAAAAATTCAAATAAGAATACCTAATAATATTGATTAAAATGTGAATTAAGGGCACAGAAAATAGAAGAGAACTAAAAAACAAAGTATGCATATATAGCTTTGTTGGTTTTAGGAAAAATTTTAAAGGCAGATGAATATATCTGCAGCATGTAAAGAATTTTTCAAGTTTTCTAAAGACATCCTTAGTGACTTTAGACAAATGAAAGCTGTTTGATAAGTTCATAACAGTAATTTAAAATTGGCATATAACCTGTCCCACCACAAAACTTGCACTTATAATTGTCTAATTTATTTTTATTAAATAAATTAGACAATTATAAGTATGAGTAAACACAGATAATCTGCTGATTATTTATACAAAATAATGGTACTTTATATTATTTTAATTAAATATATGTAAATATGGATTATGTAATTTGTTTATAAAAGCATTTTAAAATTTATTTTCTTATCAATTAAAATAGATAAAAAACTTTTTAAACATAAAAGAGCTGATCATCTAGAAGCAGTCAAAGCCATCCTTACTTTTGGTAATTATGAAAAACAATATAGATTAGTTTATTTGATGATAAAGAAAATGACAGAGGTAATTAATTTATTTTTCAATGTAAAGGTTTATATTTTATACATTGTAAGATATTTTATTCTGACTTTATGAAATAAAACAAAATGCTCTTAAATACACATACAAACTGTAGACCAAACTATATGAAAATGAAACTAAACCTATAAAGTTCCAATTATTTGGTTGAAATTTTACAGGTTTTGGTTTGATATAAAAGTTTGAAAATGTAAGAAGCATATCTGAAATTTTTTTCATTCCTATGTCTTCAAGGACTCTAAGTAAAACATTGTAAAAATCAAAGTTATTCTGAAATCTTTAATCATTTAATGTTTGAGTTTTCACTGGAGAAAAGTATTGTGTAAAAAATTCTATTTTAGTGGTTTTTGGATAACAGTTTTAATAAAAACATTCAATTAAAAAAAATTCTGACTAATGAATATTGCCACTTGCTTTCACTTTTGACAACTACAGTACTTGTATTAAATTAGGTATAAAAATTTATCATTGTATACATTGATATGTTTGTCTCACAAACTTTGATGGTTAATTCATCTACTTTCAGCTATTTTATGATTTTCATCATATCCTAATTTATTTTATAGTATTTAAAATGCATTTAAAAACCATCAAAAATGCATTTTGAAAGAAAGTTGCAAGAAATGGATAGTTATTAAAATGACTTTTAATTCCACACTATTTCAGAATCACCAAGATGATAAGAACAAACTACTCTCTCTGGAGAAAAGTAAAGTATACCAGATGCTAGTTTATGACAAAAAAAAAGATCTTTTTTATTTTGCATTACTATTAGCCAGCCTTTAGAATTAATGAATATCTACAGTAGCTTCTCAAAAAGAGTATACTAATAAAGTAAAAATATTTTAAGGTAGCAAAAATTAGTCTTTCAGAATTATAATTCTTAGATTATGAATTTTCTGCTATTTGTAAGACAATATCATTAAGTTTCATTCAGAATATGAAATAGTTGCTGAAACTTAAAGTAAATGAAAGCATTATTATTCAAAAGGCCAAAATTTTTTTGTAATACTGAATGTCATGATGAATTTATTAGAACTTTCATAGAAGAGTTGACATAGAATCTATAGCAATGTTTTTAGTTTCTTTAGAAGATTCAAGTGTTAAATATGTGAATATTTTGAAAAATTTATAAACAATCCTCACAAAGCATTTTAATTTGCTGAGACTACTTATTTTGATATAAACATATGTTTTCAACCCATTCTATATGCCATGCAAATAAAACATGGACTTGGACAGATTTGAAACTACATTTTGGACTTGTCTGTTTTTGATTGTTACTTGAATGGATTTGGACAATTTCAAAGTTTTCTAGAACTTAAATGTTACAAAAAATTATTAAAATTGCTTAGTTTAAACAGCTAAGGGTAAAATGAAGGATAGAAAAGATGAAAAGGTACTGTACATAAGATATGCAATGTAGAAAGAAATATAATAATTTTAAAAAATTTTACAAATAGTTCCTTGATTTTTTTTCTTATAATTTGTTGAAACATTGAATTGAATGTAAATAGACATGTTAAGCAATGAATCTTTTAAAGCTGGAACTTCTTTTAACATTAATCAATATCATAGCTTTCTTATATAATAAAAAAAAGAAAAAAAATCAATTTTAATGTTAGAACATTCAGTAAACTGTTCGATTTGAAAGTGTAGAACCTGAAGCAGGCCAATACATTAGGCCAAAAAGATTTGTTTTTAATATAGTATTGCTGGAAGACATAAGGAAGATGTGATATTGATTTAATGAATAGACATGTTATTTGGTATCCCAAAAAGTCATAAGAAAAACTATTTTATATTTGGGATCCCTCCAGCAATGTTTTCATTATGCTCTCCAAAGTTGTTTCTCCTAAAGATGGTTAAAATCAATATATTAAATAATAAATAAGTATATTTTTATGGTTTCTTCAAAATACTTCAATAAACTCTCCAGTTAATATTAAATGTAACAGGAACTATCAAAACTTAATGATAAGCAGAATTGATGGAAATGCTTTGTTTCTAATGCTCTGCATTTCACATGTTTGATTTTATTTGATTTTTTTTGTTTATCAAATGTTTAATAAACATCAGTTCTGGAAGTAGTATGTGATTGTGTCTGGGTCTGTTTGTCCACTGAAAACTTTAATTTTTAAATATTTTATTAAAGTAGGGAATAAACTACTATTTTGTGATGCAAATGAAATATAGCATTTGGAAAACATTGTACAGTACTTTGAATTTTCTGCTATTGTAGTTATACATAATAATCTGGTGGCATAATCACAAAGTACAAAATAATATGCATTATAGGAATGTCACAACTTCTCTCTCCACACTAAACTTATAAGTCAAAACAGTATGGTGGATAATGAACTCTTGTTAGATAATATTGATACCTTGTCTCTTCTGCAGCTGAAATTTAGGGACTTTGCACACTTTTGGAATGGGCATGTCTGTTCAACATTGGCTGCTGTGAATACTGGAATAACTATTTCAGAGTTCTTCAGATGGTTAATGGAGGAAGAATTTTGAAATCAACAAAATATCCTTTATTATCTTGACTAAAATTAATCTTAGCTGATGAATATAGGCCTTGTATAATACATGAGATAAATATGGGATCTCCTAGCTTCTCTTTGACTATACCCAACTTTTATTTTGGACAGCATCTGGTTTTGATGAATTAATATCTGCTTCTCAATGTCTAATGTTTGCTCTTGATGACACTCAGTCATAATAAAACTTCTGGGCATCTGTTTAGTTTGGACCTTTGCATACAAGTCTGACTTGACAAGATTAAATAACCCAATAAATAATTCAGCTGGGATAATTCCCTTAATGGCTTTTGGGATGCTGCAGTATTTGAATAGAAATCATGCAAGAGCATACTCAAAGAACTGCTCATCAGAGATGATCATTTTTTGTAAGACAGACTTTACTTTGAATGTTTAGCTGCTTCATTCAGTTTGGATGGCATAATGGTGTCCATGTAAAATGTACTTAGTTCATCTTCTAGAAGAACAAAGAAAGAAAGAAATTAACAGCTTGGTTTTCTATAATTAATAATTAGTTTTTATTAACATTTTTATCAGAAGCTTTCATTTGTGTTTAATTGATTTATTGGACTACAATTTTCAAATTGCACACCTATTCATTCCCACTGTTGTCCATCCTTCTTTAATCTCAAGAACAGACTTAGATGGATGAATGGAAAATCATAACCAGATATGGAAAGCTTAGAGGCCAGAGGACCTGATTAACTATATACAAACTTCTGGTCTAGACTAGAAGTCATGACTTTAATTCAAAACTGTTTTGAGTACAGAGATAGATGAACAACATGACTTGATTGTTATCAGGTGAAGTATGATGTACAGGGACAAAGCACTAAAATTCAGACCAGATGTGAAAATCCTAGGGGTCAGAGATCCCAATTAACTATAAATGAACTTTTGTTCTGGACCAAAATCACATGATTTTTTATTTTAAAAGATGATTAAAAATTGCAGCCTAGCATTGTGATTATGTCACAATAAATAATTGTTTATTAGTTTTTTTAAGTATGAATTAAATTCAAATAATGAATGTTAAACATTTTTGTGGTTTATTTTGGAAACCACTAAAACAGGGCTTATAGGTAAATAAACAAATTTGTTCTGTCCTTACAATCCGATATTCACCAGAGGATTATAGAATCTAATATTTGTTCTTTATAATCTTTCTGAAATAAAAGAATATCATCGTTTTAAAAAGTTTAAATATCCTATAAGTAAGTTGAATTTATTTTGATATAACAATAAATAAACTAACACAAAATTTCAAAATTAAATCAGAATTGCCTTGCAAATATAAATAAATTTCAAAATACAGTGAAACAATCTTTATCTGACCACCAAAAATTGTTATGAAAAACAGTTGTCTGGAGGGGTGTTGCCTTAAAGATATTTGTTTTCTCAGGAGTATAGAAGTACAGTATGCTGTATATTTGGTGTAATAAGTATAAGCATTCAAAAAGCCTGCAGAAAATATGTTGACCTTATGCTTCATTTAATATTTCCTATTTACAAAGATGCTTGCTTGAGAATTGAAGGGAAATATGAGCATATTATTCAGAAACCTGCATTGCACAATAAATTTCATCTATGATTTTAGTCTTTTTGGATATTTAATATTTTAAAATATTTATGGGGAAAAGTATTTAGTGTATTTAAGCCATCCCATACATTTTGCACTCAATTCTAAAATTTTTTACTATATTCTGGTTAAGAAAAATAAAATTAGAATGCATACTTTCATTTATCAGAAAAAAGCAAGAGTTTAAAAGAATTTCATCAGAATCAAAAAAAAAAAAATGTTTAAAAGAAGTCATTTACCATTAAAATATTCTACATGAATACATACAAAAGCAGCTTAGCCATATCCACTGGTAAACTCTAACATAAATAACTGGTTTAAGTTAGTAGAAACGTTTAATGAAATTAAGGACAAACAAATTTTTTAAAGACTAATAATTGTAAAAATCAATCATTTTCATACTTTTTCAAATTTAAACTTTCAAATATATTCATTTAATTTTCAGTTTTCACAGTATTTAACTTAATCAGCTATTTTATATTCATATTGTTCTATCTTATATCTTTATTCATAACTGCTATTGTTAATAATAAATTTAAAATATTGATGATTATTATATTGATATTGAGGAAAAGTTTATTATAAATTAATGATTCAATAATTAAATTTGCTTATAAGCATATAAAAATTAATTCCAGATTTTATCTAAAAGTAAAGTTGTTTTAGAAGAATCAGGATATATTCCAGGTAGTATTTTCCCAGAAGACAAAGATATTCGGGAAGGTAAGTCAATAGTTATAATCAGTTAGAATTATTAAAAATATAAAGCATAAAAAAACAAAAACTGTTATAATTTTTAAATGACGATTATCATTGAATTTCGTCTATGTAATGGTGTAATAGAAACAGAATAGGTAATGTCAAATTTAGCAAATAATTATTGGAATTGTGATAATCATTAGCAAATCAAATTAAAATTAATAACTATTTCTCTCTTTCTATATTAAATCAATTACTCAAATATCAATTACTTATACTATGTAAAATAGAAAACTGATAAAAAATTTGCTGTAGATTATTTATTCCATTGTTTTATTGTGACTTTTATTCTATAATTTGTTAAAAACATTTTTTATGTAGCTCATTCAGAAAATACTTTTAATCCATATCTTTCATGAAATTAATTTGCAAGATTTAAAAGTTTGTCAGATTGCAGATTAAATAAGAATAAACTTATACTGTAGTTTATTCTTATTTAATATATAGCATTATAGTTTATGAAAGAAAAGTAGTTTTATTAAAAACTAGCTGTTACCCGCGACTTTGCCCGCGAAAATTTTGCAAGCAAACCCCATTTATATTCAGTATTTCAACAACCATAGTAATTGTTATATAACAACTACCGCTGAGAATGATGAGAATTGCCGAGAATCAAACGAACTATTTTCANATTAAAATAAATTTGAATGTTTTCAAGCTATTTTGCTCAAGAAAACTGAACATAGAATTTTGTTGCTATGGAAACATTATGTAAAAGTTTAACACCAAATGATTGTCAGATTACATCAGGATATAATAATGCTATTAATAATTTAATAGCATTATTATAGCCTGATGTAATCTGTCAATCATTTGGTATTAAACTAAAAATTGGGTTTAATTAAATTGCCTCAATGTCCTTTTTTCCTTATTAATATGTAAATTTTTCGACTATAAATTCGACTTTCATCTATTATCAGGACTTATTATACTGGTTTTACAGACAATATTACAAAGATTAACAGAAAACAATTTTTATTTTACGAAATATATAACAGGTATACGAAATAAAATAAAAATTGTTTTCTGTTAATCTTTGTAATATTGTCTGTAAAACCAGTATAATAAGTCCTGATAATAGATGAAAGTCGAATTTATAGTCGAAAAATTTACATATTAATAAGGAAAAAAGGACATTGAGGCAATTTAATTAAACCCAATTTTTAGTTTAATACCAAATGATTGACAGATTACATCAGGCTATAATAATGCTATTAAATTATTAATAGCATTATTATATCCTGATGTAATCTGACAATCATTTGGTGTTAAACTTTTACATAATGTTTCCATAGCAACAAAATTCTATGTTCAGTTTTCTTGAGCAAAATAGCTTGAAAACATTCAAATTTATTTTAATGGCATTTTTACTCTATAAAAGCATTATTTTTTTTAACTGATTTTTAAAATTTTTATAAAATTATATTGTAATTTCTGAAATTAAATATTGCAGAAAATTCAGCATTGGCAAATAGTTATCTATATATATAAAATTGCTTGTCCTGACTGACTGATTCATTCACTCACTGATTCATCATCGCCCAGAGCAAACCGCTGAACCTAAAGAGGTGAAATTTGGTACACAGTTAGGGTACGTCATGAAAACGCTCACTAAGAAGGGATTTTCCGAAATTCCCCCGCGGGGGGAGAGGAAGAGGATTAAGGCTTAACCGGAAGAACAACTTCTACTGTAATATTTTAGATGCGATTTTTTGTTTTTATCTGCGTTTTAGTAGGGAATGCCATGGCAATGCACAATAAGAAGGGATTTTTCGAAATTCCAACGCGGGGGG